AAAATTTGTCGTAACTATCTCTTTTAAAATAATCAACTTTTAGCACTTGTTATAAAAACTAAATAGTCATTAAATATTAGATCACTAAATGAACTAAATAATAACTCTTGCATTACACAGTCTTGTATATTCGACAATAAGCTCCTCTTCAAGAAAAATGTTTACAATATTTTTTATACTATATACAAAGACTGTTATCAGCTCACACATGAAGTCTCCGCTTGTGGTTTGTACCAACATTTGTAGTTCCTTTTGTACTATAGCACCCAGTGTCTCGTAGGACTTTTTTGTCCCTAACATAGCCTTCACTTACTGACATGTTGTGATTTGTTGGCACCTCACAGAGTTTATCATATGCTCCAATCTCCACTGGCACTGTTGATCATTTTGCTAACTGGAGCTGACCATCAGTCATGCATTGATTAATCATGGAAACAGCACTTCCTTTTTGTGGTGAATCTGATGAGTTGTCTATGTTCTGTTTCTCCTGGGAGCAGCATCCATGGTGACAATCACCGTTTTCTTGTTTCTTACCAGAACATCCAGCTCCTTTATGTTGAGAATTATGCTGTTGGTTGTTGGTGATGGACTTGCACTCCTTTGCAATGTGTCCTATTTTATAACAAATATAGCATTTGTTCTCCTATTTATCTCTGTTAATCTCCCGTCACCTTTGGTAGACTCCTGTTTCTGGTCAGCCACCACTGGTTATTCTTGGATTTGCCAGTTTATACTCCCTCCATGAGCTTCCATATGCTGTTCTGCCAGCTTGATCATCTCATCCATGTCGTATGGCAGCTTTAGAAACAGTGACATGTCAGTTGAGCACATGATCATGAACTGTTTACGTATTAATAGGTCTGCCAATTCTTCAAAACTATTTTCACAATCAGTTAAATAACACAGGCCTGCGATGATTTTATTGTCTTGAAATTTTGACCTGTTTACAGTAATTCTTATACACTGAATCCAAAAATAATATCCATTTTTCTCCATCACTTACAGATTTTTCACAAAACATCATATTTACTTTTACATAAGTAAATGGTTTTCATTGTAATTGAGGCACATTTTGTTATGCTTTGTTGACAATCACTGTCTATAGATTTTTCTAGACCAAACATAATAATAAAAAATTTTCAATGTGGTAAGTGAAATAATAATTTGATCAAAGTAAGAGTTTTTTTCCCTTGATTTGTAAAAAAACCCTTACATGATAGAAAAAATTAATATTATTTTTGAAATCTGCACAGCTGAAATATGGAAAATTCATTATTAAACTAAAACAACTTTTATAAAGTTTAAATTTGCAGGTCTGTATAATTAGTTACACCTGAACCTTTTTAGATTAACAATAAAAGAAACAAACTATTCATACTAATATAATTTAGAATTTGAAGAACATTTATCAGCAACAGAGTTTGAAACAAATTGATCATGTTAATAGAATAGTTAGTGCACTTATTGGTAAATTATTTTTCAAACATATGCTTGGAAAACTTCATAAAACTGGAATTGTAAGTCTGATTGAAAATTAACATTAATTAAAAATAAAATAGTCATTTCATTTTTATATTAAAAATAATTGAAGCAATTTTAGGGCTAGGATAGTAAGTATTTTTATATATGCCATTTAAAAATATTTGAAACAGTTTAATTCTAAAACGACAGTTGTAATTTGTCTTTTCAGGAAATACATTTCACAGTTATTGTGAAAAAATCAAGGAAAAGTAGTAGAGGAATATACAAGTAAGAAAGGTAGTCATGTGGTTTGTTTAACATTTCTACAGGTAATCATGATTCAGAAAAAATTAGTCTTATTCTGATACGATACTTTACGTCTACTCACAGAATAGCTTTTCCCAATTTGTATTGCCCTCTATATGTGCCAATTTTCTCTCGCCACTATCCTTGATACTTCCACCTACCTTCACATGTTTTCACGAGGCAGCTGTATGATAGCCTGTAAATCAACATGAGACAACCCCACACCAATAGGAGTGTGACACGAGTCCTAACACAGCTGACTCCTTCTATGCAGCTTAGCCCAACTTACTTCTTGATTGACACTCAGACGCATTTTTTGCTCATGCTTTCCTTTATGGAATTTTCAATCAATTCCTTATTTTTTTTAAGAGAACTTACAATTTTCTTTATGTTTGCTACACTTGTGTTCTGAAATTTCGGCGAGTACACGTTCGCATTATGTGTCTTTTATTATAATACGTGATTCTTTGGAGCTCCCTGTTTGAACCTTACTACTTACATTCTTTGTTAAAATGAATTCTTCTGAGTTTAATGTTACAGCTACTTGGACTATTGACCTCTTCTGTCTTTCTCGTACCCTCATGGCTCCACTTTTGTTGGGATCTCTTGGGTAGGAACTCCGTTTATCTTGTGTACATTTACCCCAGCCTACTTGCAGGACTTGTATATGGCTCCCTTTTTTGGTCGTTGAAGACCAGAATTAAGTCTGCACATTTGCACACCTCCCTCTTCTCATTGGCCTCCCATATCTCCCTACCTCATCCTGCAACTGTACCTGTGTCTTCTCCCCCTTCACCCTTCTTCTTCCCCTTTTCCAATGCTTGCTCCATGGGTCTCCAAGGTTCTTTGTCGGTTTGTTCATCAACAGCTTCAGCATCCCTGATAATTCTGGTGGGTACAGTGGGAGCCAGGTATTTGTGCTTTGCCATCATTTGGGAGTCCTTTACTACAGACTCTTGAGTTCTGCTGGTTCTCTCTCAAGGGCTTGTTCTTCATTTCAGTTCTCCTCCTCCCCTTCTCTTCATCCTATATCTTTCCCCAATTCTTGGGATTCCATTTCCAGCAAATGTCTTTCTGAGGTTGTTCTGGATCTTGTTCACCAGGGCACTATAGAACAGGGAGATCCTCCACAGCCGGGTGTGTATTCTCGTTTGTTCATAGTCCCCAGGGACTAGTGCTCCATCAACAATCTCTCTTCCTTGAATCATTTCCTAGACCTTCCCCAATTCACTGTGGAGTTTTACCAACCAGTCGATGGGCTTTCACTCCTGGTCTTTGGATGACAAGGTTAGTTGTCTTGAATGCTTACCTCCACATTCTCATCTCACCATCATCCCAGTTTTTCCTTTGTTTTGTCCATCATGGTTGCATCAACCAATTCTGGACTCTTCCTTTCAGGCTAGCTTTGGCTCCCTCAGTTTTTGTTGGGTTGTCAGGCCTTTGCCCATCTTCTCCATTCCAGGGGCCTTTGTTTCTACCATTATATGGACGACTTGCTGCTTCTAGCAGCTTTGCATGCCACCTCTTCCCTTCACTTTCAGTATTTTCAAGAGACTGCATGGGTAGGTTGACTGATAAAGATGGAGAAGTCCTTCCTCTTCCTCACTAAATACCTTGTTCATTTCAGTGTATTTTTCAATTCCTGTCTTTGCCAGGCCTACCCTTTGCCTATGATCTACAGAGCTTCTGGTTCAGGCCATTTCCTCATCTCCTTTTCCATTTGCATGAGAGGTTCTTTCTTGGGAATGTGGGCTTCTTTGGAGGCCCTAATTCTCCACAGGCAAGCCCATGTGCAACCTCTTCAGTGGAACTTCGTTTGGGATACCTTGAATGCCCCTGTCCAGTTCCCTCCTTCCCTTCATGTTGTCTTTGTCTGGTGGTTGGACAGAGACAACTCCATAGTAAGTATTACCCTTCTTTTGTGTAGTCTGGGGTGCACCTTTTCACGGATGCTTCTCTTTTAGGTTGGGGTATGTGTCTAGATACCCTGGAGCTTTTGGGCCCTTGGACTATTGATGAGTTATCTCTGCATTTCAGTCTTTTTGAATTGTCACTGTCTGTTGGGGCTTTGATTCATTTCCTTCTGCCTCTCTGGAACTGGTTGGTTGTGTTACTTCCTACTGTTGCCTAGATGTCAGTTCTTGGGGTATTGGTGTCGATTAGAGCTGGAACAGCCACGTAAGACTTCAAATGTGAATGGCCCAGGTACCCTATTCCTACCACAGACTGGACACTTCAGTCCCAATGCTACCTGGTTCTGGACTGGATTTGAACCTCCACATTGCTGTCCACCTTTCTACCATCATCTGGATGTCAGTTCTCAGGAGTACCAGTGTTGGTTGTGTTGGACATGCAAACATGATGATGCGGGTCCTTGGAACAGAAGATCTTCTTTCCTTCTGGTTCCAGTGTTCAAGGTGAATGGTATAGGACCCTTTTCCTACTATGGGCTGGATATTCCTATCAAGGTACTGCTGGTGTTGATTGAGGTTAAACTTCCGCTTTTGGTCCACTGCACCCATGCCACTCCATTCCTTATTTCTGGGGACATTCCTATGAATCTGCCCTCATTACAACACATCATTTTCATGGGTGAGGAGTATACCTGGCTCAGAAATGGTGCAATATCCCATGAGTGTGTTTTACATACTCTTTATTCACACATCCCATGGGCTTCCTTTGGGTGTTTTCTGATGGGAGCTCATCGAAGTATTGTTACACTGGTCCCTCCACCACATCAATGTAGAATTGTATTTATTTTCTGAGCGAAGGTAAGATATTGTATCAGAAGATAAAATTTTCCTTCACTGAAAATGTATTTCCGATAGATTCTTACCTCCAATCACACTTCCCACCCTTTCTCCTAACTTCCAGTGTCTTTTTCCTTTCTTTTGCTCAATATCGAAATGAAGTTGGGCTAAGCTGCATAGAAGGATTCAGCTGTGCTAGGAGTTGTGTCACACTCCTATTGGTGTAGGATTGTCACATGCTCGTTTACATCCTATAACAGCTTCCTCACTTGAAAACGCATGAGGGTAGGTGAGAGAACAAAGCTAGTGGTGAGCAAAAATTTGTCCATATATATAGGGCAGTACAAGTTGGGAAAAGCTATTCTGTGAGAGGTAAAAATCTATTGGAAATACATTTTCAGTGTAGGAAAATGTCAAATTTTGTTTATTTGGTATTTTAAAATAAGAAAGTTGTAGTTACATCATATTTCTATTTTTCTACAGACACCTCCTAGCTCACCTAGTTCTATTGGATCTCGAAAATCCAGCATGTGTAGCATTAGTAGTCTGAACAGTTCATCTAGTGGAAGTACCAAATCTCATTCCCCTTCACATCATTTTCGACACCGATCTCTTTCACAGGTAGTTCGTTTTAATTCAATGATGAATTTTTTCGTTATTATTGTATGAGGTATGATTTATTGGTATTCACACTGCAGGATGAAATCCAGATGTTTTTAACAATGCATTTGTTATATTTCATTGCAAAATATTGCCGTACAACTTTTCTTTTGTTAATAACAGTCCAGTGAAGTAAAGAAAACCTTTAAAAATAGGAATAATATATGTAAAAGAAAAAATAAAGACTAAAGACGTGTTATAAGATGAATGATGTTATTAAATACTTTACTAATTCAATTTAACATTTCACTAATCATTAATTGTCATTCAGAATTGGAACAAATTTATAGTTTTAAGAAGAATGGACAAGTTAATTTTTTCTTATTTAATGCTGATTTAGATTAACAATTACCAAACTTACAAATGTGTAGTTGCAACTCATCTTCAGTAACTTTTGTTATAACGAAATTGGTAGAATATGCATGGACATTTTATTCTGTCCAGACATATGAGCAGATAACCATCTAAATGTGGATTCTACACATTTTGTTGATGCTGCAAAGACAAGACAAACTACAAGTGGATATTTATTTTATGTAATAATATCCTTAAAACAAAATAATTTTGTCATTCTGAAAACTGAAAGAAACATGAGATTTCAATTGATAAGTATACTTTGTCTAGAAAGAAACTGTTGTTCTGTATACTGTTACAGTAGTTTTTTGGGAAGATGAAATTGTGAAATTTTAGTGGTTACCACCATGTTTAACATTATATAGATTTCAGTATTAATTAGATTATTATTCAACTTATCAAATTTCATAAATTTCTGTATTCTGTTTTCTCATGCAACATAGTGCAAGTGCTCATAATCTTGTAGACACAATTAATCAAGATTTTTTTAATTAATTTTTTGATGCTATATAAAAACATAGCTGTCAAAAGCTGATTTATGATATACACTTATTTTAAAACTTTGTTTACAATATATTAAAATATGTAGAAAAGGTAATGTTGATTTATATGTATACTCAAATATAAATGTAAAATTTCAATATAAACATATTTTTAGCTGAAAAATTTGTCATTAATTGTAGCAAATGAGTTTTAAACTAACTGAACATTCCACTAACCTATCTACTTGATCATAATTTAAGATCATTAAACAGAAATTACAATTTTTTAACTGTGAAAACGTGTGTTTGGATAAACCATTAACTATAAGTGAAGAACATGGGATTCAGTGTTTGTATAGCTCAGCACTTTCCTGTAAATGAATATTAGTGTAAAAAGATTCAGCATCAAAGCTAGTTGTATACATAACACCATGAAACTTCAAAATCTAAACAATTCAAAACTTTTTTCAATGTGAATTCACTACCTAACCTTTTAGGGAAAATATATGTCAATTGGAAGAAAATTAAGTTAACTCTCACGAAACGTCTTTCAAAAATAAAACTAGTGAATGAAATTGTTTGAAATTTGACAAGAATGTTCTTAAAAGTATGTATTCCGATACCGTACTTCCTTCCTCTCACAAGATTAACTATTCTCATTCATTGCTGTCCTCTATTTGCAAACTTTTTCTTTATGCATGCTAAAAGCCATCTGCTCCTCTCTATTGGAATTAAGTGATTCCAACGTCTTATGCAAATCATCATGTGTAAGCTATTCCCAATAGGAGCATAATACACTCATCTGATGCATGCACCTCTGGTGAAGCATGAATTCCAAAGTCAATGTCACCACTTTGGGTGTCTCAATTTCGACAGGTGCTTTATCACAGGCTTCAGGTGTGGGCAACCCGACAGGAGATTTGTCTACATTTATTCACAGGGAGATGGAATGTTACATGGGTAAACCTCTATTGCCAGACATTGCCATACTTCCTGAACCTGTTGAACTTATGCAGGCCGACGAGGACTTTGATCACCTGCTTCCACCTCTTGTATTTTCCATGCCTTCCCATACCTTTCCTAATGATTCAGTTCTGTCTTCTATGGTTTTTTCTGACTTTATTTCTCAGGTATGTGATGTTTTATCCCTTGTTCCATTTCTTATGACTCACGTCATTCCTTTTCTCCCATCCCCTGACATTTGGGTTCTTGCTGAACAATTCATCTCTCAGTTACACAATGGCATTAGCATGCCAAATCTCCCATGGGCTTTGGATCAGTCTGCCCTAGCTTATCTTCGTACAGACTGTCCTTATCTCGACCAGCAACTGTTGGGTTCTGTTTTACCAATCTGGGGGGTGGGCCCCAAATGTCCTGTTAGTATAACCCTTGCTCAATTTTTCTGCTTACATCACGACTGTTTTGTGGTATCTTTCCACAATTCATCTCCTGTCTGAGGCTCTTACCAGAAATCCTGAGGGGTTTTCTGGGGACATAACACTCTTTACTTCCACGTTGGCTTGTTTGTCATCTTTGGCTCTGGTTCTACATGTGTGGTTTCTCTGTTGTTGGGACTTTCTGGGTTAGGATGCTGTCTTATCAAGGGTCCATTTACCTGCACCTTATCTACTGGATTTACGTATTGCTCCATTTTTCTGGTGTTTCATCTTTGATATGTTCCCGGAGTCTTTGAAATCTTGCCACACCTCCATTGTCCCCTTTACCCATTTCCTTCCCTTCACCTCGGGATCCCGTTGTTTGTCAGCATCTATCAGAGGTGGTGCAGGACATCCTCACTCAACAGGCTATCGAACCTATTACTCATCATTCACCAGCATATTACTCCCATCTATTTGTTGTTCCCAAGAAAACCAGGAACTGGAGGCCTGTCATCGATTTGTCCCACCTCAATCACTTTGTTCACCTCACCCATTTCACCATGGAGTCCTATTTCATCCTCCAATGAGCATTTTGGATTATGGATGACCAACATGGACGTCACCAATGCTTACCTGCATATTCCTGTTTCAACAAGGTCTCGTCCATATCTTCGGTTTGTCCAGTACAGGGTGGTGTACCGGTTTCGTGCCCTAACATTTGGACTTGCTTTTGCACCTTATGTTTTCTGTTGGGTGGTCAGGGCTTTTGCTTATTATCTTCATGCCCTGGAGCTGCATTACCATTATTACATGAACGACTGACTTCTTCTGGCCCATTCCAAATGGGAGTCAGCCAGTCATACTCGTCAGCTTCTTCAAGTGGCGGCTCGGGTGGGCCTGTTGATCAAATTGGAGAAGTCCTACCCAATAACTTGTACATCTGGGTGTCTATTTCAACACTTACCTTAGTTGGGCCCTTCTCTCTGACTCCATTCTGTGGAATTGTCAGTTCATCACACACTATCTGCTCTCTCACTTTCTGCACATGAGGTTCTATTGCTTTTGGAGATGTGGTCTTCTATGACACTGCTGGTCCCCCTAGGTCATGCACACGTGTTTCCTACTGTGAACTCTGTACAATCAATGGAACCTTGCTCAGGATCCCTTGAATGCTTCTATTACACTTCCTCCTTCCCTACCAGATGATATGATTCAGTGGTGGGACAAGACACACATCATCAAGACTCCCACTTCCTCCTCCTTGTCTGGATTTACATCTGTTTAAGGACATATCCCTTCAGGGCTAGGGTGCATGGGGGATTGTTGGGTCGATGAGCAGTTATTCCATATCATCGTCCTAGAGCTTCTAGCCATCCTTTGAGCTTTGGACCACTTCCTCCCTCTAACCAAACCTTGTCTGGTCATGATTCATTTCCACAATTTGATGGTGTTGGCATATCTCAATCACTAAGATGGCACCCAGTCGAGATCCCTCTGTTTTCATTCATTGAATCTCCTCTATTGGGCCTACATATATTACATTCGTTTAATTGTGTGTCATTTCCTGGGTGCTTTCAATCTAATGGTGTATCGACTTTCCCATCCTGACAAGATATATCTGCTGGAGTGGTCCCTCTATCCTCTCGTTTTTCAGTTGCTTTGCAGTAAGTGGGGTTTTCCTCACATCCATGCATTTGCCACCACCCTGATCACAAAGTTACCCCTCTTTTGGTCCCTGGTACCTCATCTTCAGGCTTTGGCTATCGATGCCTTCACCCACGGTTAGTCACACAAATTCCTATATGTTTATCCTCCTGTCTGATTGCTTCATCGGGTGGTTTCCCTAATCCATGCTACTCCTTGCCAGGTCCTTCTGATAGCTCCCAATTGACTGGCTCAACTGTGGTTTCCTCATTTGCACCAACTCCAATTATTCCCTCATGTACCAATTTTCTTATTCTCCAACCTCCTCCATCAACCCTGTCACAGGTTCTACTTTGGTAGCTTGAGAGTGTAACTCCTTCTTTTTGCTTATTTCCCTTCCCTCTATTTCTCATCTCTACCCTCCTCCTGATCCGGATAGACTTCTATGTCTGGTGCATGCCCTTCATTGCTGTATTGCTTGCACAGCTTTCATCTGTGGTTCCCATTCCCAACTCTTTATCCTGTGGCAGTCTTTTTTTTTCTACCATCACCAGTTTGGTTCATTGTTTGATACAGTTGACTTATTCCTCCTTGTTCCCTTCCTGTCGAAATTGGTTCAGTGTAACTTCTCATCTAATCTCACCCCTTTTCATTCGCTTCTCGTCTTTGTAGGCCTTTGGAGAAAATCTTGCAATCAGGCATGTAGACCACCCCAACACTTTAATTTCCCATTATTTACATCATATCACAGTTTTGCCTTTCACCTGTGGCTGTTCTTCAAACTTCAGTGCGACTCTAAGACTTGGTAAGTCTCTCTTAATGCTTTATTTTATTTCAGAGGCCCATCCTTCATACAGTCCTTACATGGATCTCGCTCTATGGCAAGTGGTGCCTGACCAGGTATTATTTTACTCTCAATCTGCACTGTACAGCCATGTTCACTTACACTTTATCTTCTATGGGTTCATAATGCTAACCACTGAGATAAGGTGTTTCACAAGATTGCTTCTGAGTGAATAACCTCGTGACTTTTGCTTCATAAATTTGGCCGTTCTGAACCGTACCACCCATGGACTTCATGGGTAAAGCAGAAGGGGATAGC